GACCCAGATAACACTGCAGGGGCCAGATAACACCACAGGACCCAGATAACACTGCAATATCCAGATAACACCGCAGGACCCAGATAACACCACAGGACCCAGATAACACCGCAGGACCCAGATAACACTGCAGGATCCAGATAACACTGCAGGATCCAGATAACACTGCAGGACCCAGATAACACCACAGGACCCAGATAACACCGCAGGACCCAGATAACACCGCATAACCCAGAGTTTCCCAACCAATGGGCCTTCCCCTCCAGGGCCTTTTGGAGACCAGGCTTCAGGCATGTCAGAATGCAGGGCACCACCTCCTGCAGGAACGTTTGTCTACACATACCCGGTGTCTGACGGTGGTCAGGACATCCTGAAAAGGTTTGAAGCCCCTGCACGACTCTCTGTTCTCTCTCTTCCTCCCTCTATCCCCACCCCGCTTCTGAAAACCAACACTAGCCAAATGCATCTGTGTCCTGCTTCTGGGGGGATGGGAGTGAGTCTCAGCTACTTCATGTCAGTGTTCTGTCTTAAATGCAGTTTTTGCATTCTTTTAAAATATATTCATCTTCTCTGGGCGTGGTGGCCCACCACTTCAATCCCAGCTCTGGGGAGGCAGAGGCAGGTGGATCCCTGTGAATTCTAGGCCAGCCTGGTCAACGTAGTGAGCTCCAGGCCAGCCAGGGCTGCATAGTGAGGCCGGTCTCAAAAACAAACAACCCCTACCAAAACAAGTCTCTTAAATTAAATATATTCATCTTGACTGGTTGTGGGTGGTACACACCTATAATCTCAGTTACTCGGGAGGCTGAGGCAGGAGGATTGTAAATTTGAGGTCAGCTTGGGTAACTTAACGATACCCTTTCTCAGACTGAAACACGGCCCTTCCCTCCATGAAACCCCAAAAGGTTGGGGCCCAGCTTATTTGTAAAGTGCTCACCACTTATTGGTGAGGACCTGGCTTTGACCCCAGCACCACAAAACAGAAACTCATACATCCTCGAATCCCCAAAAACGACATGCTTGTCCACCCCTTCCCTTACTTTACAAACAAAAAAAAAACCTTCATTTTATTCTCTCCCCTTTCTTACAGTTCCAGGAAGGTTTATCCCGCAATCCTGAGCCCTTGTGACCTCTGGACTCCCTGGCACAGGAGCGAACGTCCTAAGGGTTCTTATGCGTGAGTCAAACGGGCCTCCTGTCTGGACTTGTGTGCTCCCATATTCCTTGAGGCTAAGTACGACAATGATATTAATGTAAACGTGAGAAACGCCAACACTCCATTTCGGGGATTTTAGGTCTACTTGCCATATTTCATATTAAGCTGTCCAGGACCATCTGTGCCGTGGAGGGCCGTGTGTGTGGTCATTGTTATCCTGTGTCTCTATCATGTATGTCTTCACGAAATGAGTATCAGCCTCTCTTTAGGGACTGCTAGAGGCATCAGCAGTGGTGGTTTGAATGAACATGGCCTCCGTAGGCTCTGAGATTTGAATACTCGGTTCCCAGTTGGTGGAACTGTTTGGGGAGGACTAGGAGGCGTGGCCTTGTTGGGGGAGGTGTGTCTCTGAGTGTGGGCCTTGACAGTATTCCCACTAAGTGCTCTCTTTCTGCCTCCTATCTGAAGATGATAATGTAATCTCTCGGTTCCTGCTCTTGTGCCATGCCTGACTGCTGCTGTGTTCTCTGCCGTGATGGTCACAGACACTAACCCTCTGCACCTGTGTTCTCTAAATTTTTTTAAAAAATTAATGAGTTGCCTTAGTCATAGTGTTTTGTTATGACAATAGAAAGGGACTAGGGCATTCGCCTCTCTACTCTTGCCCTGAATGGTCCACTGACCTCCACAGGTGCACCCCCCCCCACTCACGGAATAAATTAATAAAAAAAACAGGCACCCCCCTCCACTTTGGTGGTCACACAGCTTCCTTGCCGTGTAAATGTGGGCATGTTATTTAGTGGCTCGCCTCCTGGATTTTCTCACAGGATCGCTTGTGCTGGTGGGATGAGTTATTCCGTGCAAGGTTTAGGATAGCCATGGCACAGAGCAAGGCACATGTACACGCCAGCTTGTGGCGCTGCCTCGTGGCGCAGGACTCTGCATGGATGGCTCCTGCCTACCTCGCCTACCTTGTCCCAAGCCACCTTCCCTACCTGTCCTGCTACAGCCACGCGGACCTTTCACGTTCTTCTGGATTGCTCTGTGTTCTTTGCCCTGGATAGTCTACCCCAGCTCTTACATGCCTGCCTCCTGCCTTATTATTAGCTTCCTGCATGTATGTTTGTGTATGTATGTGTGGGTGTGTGCATGCTATGACACGTGTGTGGAGATCAGAGGGACAGCTTGTAGGAATAAGTCCTCTCCTTCAATCTTGTGGGTCCTGGAGAGCTGAACTCAGGTGGCCTGGCTTCACCTTTGGGCCATCTTGCTGGTCCCAGGTCGCCCTTTCTTATAGATTCTTCCCTGGTTCTCTTGTAGTCCATTAGGTACACTCTGAATATTTTCTTACTTTTGAAATTGTGTGTGTGTGTGTGTGTGTGTATGTTGGTATCAACACAGCCTAACTGCTTGTTCCCCACACTCATTATTGCAAACCCTGTACCTAAGCGTATACACAAATGAGAAGTAGAGATATACATACACCTTTCTACCTTACTGCCCCCTCGCTTTTCCTTGAAGGGCCTTGAAAGGAAGAGAATCCACAAGCAATCAAAAGGGAGCTTTAAGATCTGGCAAAGTGTGGTCGGAGAGGGAGACTAAACTCTGGGGGTGACTCTCCTTGTGTGTGCATGTCTGTCCACCCCTAGGGGAATGTTTGAAACAGAGAAGGCTGCGAGCGTGTGGAACGACACAGAGGAATTCCACAGATTTTACAAAGCTAGCACCGCGCTCTGCCAAGGTAGGTAGCTTTCCAAGATATCCCCTCTCCTCTGCCACTGTTTCTGGAACATTTTCTCCAGTGTGATTCGTGAGCTAGTAAGTTTCCAGGCTGTGTCTGGTCTTGTAGTTCTATGTTCTCTGTAGTGGCCTGATTTCTGACAATATTTAGGCTGAGAACAGAAGCAAGACACAGCAAAATATGCATTTTTTTCTCTTCGGGATGCCAGACATCAAACGTTCAGAACAGGGAACCCAGTTCAGTCCAGCTTCTTCTCACTGGCTTCTCACAGTGACCGACGCTGGTCAGTTTCCCCTCTGCAGCGTCCCTGGGTACTTCCGGGAAAGCCCTAGTGACCCACGGGTGTCCAGACCCCAACGGCTGAGGTGGATAAATGAAGTGCAGCAAAGACGGCATCAAACAGTGTCTGAGGAGACATTCCGGAGCCGCTGAGGAAGGGAGACCCTCCCTGGGGCTCTAAGAACTAAAGCCACGCACGGCCCCTGGCTAAGCAACTGCAGTAGCTCATTTTATTTTTTATCAGACCAGTCCCAAGGCAGGAATGTTTGAGAGACTGAAAAGAATAGTTTTGCTTTTCCTTAGGCAGTTTGTCACGAACCAAAATCTGAAATGCCTCCAACTCAGACGCTGCAGGGAGGAGAGGGAGAGAAACGGTGGGAAGCACGAACCAGTCTCCAAATAGATGATCGGAACGTACGTAACAGACTGCACGTATGCGGCCAGAAGGGAGGCTCACAGGAGAAAGGACTCCGCCGTAGCCTCGGTGCTGGACACCTGACCTGAGCTGAGCTGTTCCCACCCGTGGCTCACAGCCACCAAGGGTGCGTTTCATGCCCCCTTAAGGAAGCAACTTCCGTCTGCCTGCCCGAGTTCCCCAAACCACAGAGCTGGTAAGTAGGAGCAGACCTTAAACCCCGGTCTATCGGATGCTAAAGGCCTGTTACTTCTCGTGAAGCCTTGCCGTTCCCGAACAAGACCGAACTGGAGCAAGTCCAGCGACCAGAAAACACCGAGTGTTTGTTGGGCACCTGCTGTGTGCCAGTCACTTCTGCTGCAAGATTCCGCGCTGGAGGCACGCCTTGGGCTTGGCTCTAGCTAAAAAGACCTTGTGGAATGTGGCTTCTGGACATAGTACGGTCTATCCAGTCATCTGTCCCGTCAGGCCAGGCTTTAAAAAGCTGGTTTAAGAACAGGGTGGTCTCACAACACTGTGTCTGATTTCTCTTTCACTCTTGACTCCAACCTAGCTGAGTTTAAGGTCTGTAGAGATCCCAGCGCCCACCTTCTGATGCATTCCCTCCAGCTGCCATCTCCTGACTTATTTGAACACTAATATCTCTTGAACTCACTTTTGGGGAGGTCTTTTGTCTGTTTTTTGTGGTCGGCAAGATTGATTATGTACTATATTGTAACTCAATGATTAAAAAAATCACAGTCAATTATAACCCTCCTCATAGCCCACAGTACTTGAAAGACAACATTTTCAGCGGTTTTGACGCGCATCCAGATGATTTACACACGAATGTATTACTAAGGTAAAGCTCACCTTTAGGCGTCTCCCAGGATACAAAAGCGTCAACTAAAGACAAGCCTTGTTTATAGTAGAACGTCGTTAAGTCGAGCCAGTTGGCGTCGAGGGTGTTGATGACGGCCCCTTTCCTGGTCACCTTCATGGACAGGACACCCTCCCGGTAGCTCCAGCAGGCCGACTCCTCGTCAAAGGCATTGAAGACCATGTAGAGCTTGTGATCTGAGGACAGGCGTTCAGGAAAGGGGCGACAATCATAATCTTACACATCAAAATTCTTAAACAATTTGTTCTTTGTGAGACACAACAAACATACAAATAAATATAGAAAATAACAAAAGTACCCACCACTCAATTACAAAGATTTGTGTGTATATATGTGTACATGTTTGTGTCTGGGTGCATGGGCGTGTGTGTGTGTGCATGTGTGTGTGTGTGTGTGCATGTGTGTGTGTGTGTGTACATATATGTTTGTACATATATGTTCGATCTTGGGTTTTGAGTTAGGGTCTCTAACTGGACCGAGAACTCACGGCCTGGCCAGCTTGTCTTCTTGTCGAGCATTGGGATTACAGGTATGTACTTCACATCTGCCTTTTAAGGGGGAGCTGGGCATCGAACTCAGGACCTGGTGGTTGTGGGACAGGTACTGTCCTGATGTAGGTGTGTCTTTCTATGTGTTACTTTCATTGGTTAATAAAGAGACTGCTTGGTCTAATAGGTCAGAACATAGGTAGGCGGGGAAGACAGAACAGAATGCTGGGAGGAAGAAGGCAGTGAGGCAGACGCCATGACTCTCCTCTCCGAGACAGCTGCAGGTTAGCATCCTCCTGGTAAGCCACCACCTCGTGGCGCTACACAGATTATTAGAAATGGGTTAGAGCAATATGTAAGAGTTAGCTAATAAGAGGCTACAGATAATGGGCCAAGCAGTGTTTAAAAGAATACAGTTTCCGTGTAATTATTTCAGGGGTAAAGCTAGCCAGGCAGGTGACGCGAAGCGGCCCGCTATTCCTTCTACACTGTCCTGACTAAGGTACCGTGATGCTCTCCCCACCCCCGACTCAGTTGAATCACATACTAACATCATGCCGCGCTAGCTTTGGATTATTCCTTTACAGAAATGAGACAGTGGACCCAGGGGAGGCCGCTACGTGGTGGGTACCGAGCAGCGTCTCGTCTCTAGTTCTCTAGAGATAAGTGCTAGAATGAGTTTGGTATTCATTGTTCTCATGAAAGCTTTCAGCTTTTAAATACAGAGTTATACGCTACATAAATACTGTTTTATAAAAAAATGCTTTAAAAAATAGGGGTTAAGGATTTAGCTCCGTGGAGAGAACTTGCCTAGCAAGTCCTGGGTTTGGCCCAGAGCTCAAAGGAGAAAACAAAACAACCCAACGACAACAACAAAAACAAAAATCAACACAACCGCAACAATATACTGTTCCGTTTTTTAATCTCCTGGTTCTTTCTCTAGCGGGCTGTGCTCGCGTGGATCCCCGCCACGCATGGGTTCTGAACCCGAAGGCCAGGACTCCACTGCGCCCTCCAGGGCCAGCGCGGAGCTGAGGTTTGTGGCAGCTGCCAACTTGCTAGAGCTTCTTTTGTGCTGGGCACTGGGCTGTTTTCCTTCTCCAACCCCGTGAGGGAGGCTCTGCAATTGTCCCCTTTATAGAAAGAAACGGACGCATTTGTCTCCAGGGGCCGTGTTTTCTTCACGGTTTATGGAGTCTTTAATTTTCTTTGATGTTGCTTACAACAACAACAAAAAAATTCCTGCAAAGATGTCAGGAAACTTTACACAGTCCAAAATAAAAGAGAAAAATGCTCTCAGTTTCTTGAGAAAACTTGGGGTTTGGCAGAGAAGGACAAACTTGTCTACGGCTATTTCTGGCTGTGGGAACTATTATTATAATTCACTCATCACGATGTTCCATTGTCACATTCTAGGGATGGCCAAAGCAAGCCATGGATTCCAAAGGTGAATAGCACTCATGGGATGGGAAAGGCCTGCCCAGAGATTCTCACAGTTAATCGAACAGCTGTTACCGAGCGACTTTCTCAGTCAAGTCTTTTTTTTGATTGTTTGTTTGTTTCTCTGTATAGCCTTGGCTGTTTTGGAACTTGCCCTGTAGTCCAGGCTGGTCTTGAACTCACAGAGATCTGCTTGCCTCTGCCTCCTGAGTCCTGGGATTAGAGGCGTGTGTCACCACCGCCCGGCTGTCAAGTCATTTCTTGCAGCACGGCTGGGTGAACTGTCTGGTTTAGAAGAGGGGCTGGGTGCCTGACTTGTGTGGGTGGCTCGCAGGGTCAGGAGGAGAACTAACATCTGAAACCTTGCCCCACCTTATTCCTGACTATAATTACTTAAAAACAACCCCACAAGATTAGATCAGTTCCCTCTCCTCGTAACCTGCAGAAGTTAACATTGTTTCTATTTCTCTAAAATAACGACACAGTTTGGGGGAACATAGAGAACATTCTCTTTCCATTTATGCTGTTACCTCCTCCCAGCTCTGGTCTCGAGCAGCCCGGAGTGCTGTTTCCTTCTGTCTCCTGTCCACTTTCACGCTGCGGTTCCTCCTCCACTCCGCTTTCAGACAACTGTCCGCTGGCTTCTCCTTCATGCCAGCTTTTGCAGTTGTCATGGGAACTGTGTCTCCCGGGTAGCCCCGATTCTGCATCTCCATCATGGCTGGTTCCGTTGCAGTGTGGGGATGGCGAGTCGTACTGTGATACAAACCCAACAAACTTCTTTCCTCTCTTGGCGGCAGCATTAATCTGAGGTTCAAAGAGATAGCAGGACCCAGGTAAACAAACCCCATGTGTGACTCGGGAGGCCACGGGAAGATGGAACTGACCAGTAACGAAGCCACACTTCTAAGTCAGCTGGGAACTGCTAGCATCCGCTACCCACAAGGTCATGTTCTCAGTGTCAGCATGACTTGTTACCAGAACAAACGCTTTAGAAATTATAGAGATGGGATCATATTTTTCTCTGAAGTTCCGCCATATTTGGCAAGAACTCATAATTTTATAGCAGGATTTTTGGACAAGGTTAACGATAACCTTTCCAGTTGGAGCAGAAGTAAAGACTGTTCCGGAACACTCCCCAAAGTAACTGAAGCAAATACAGCCTCACTATTAAAAACAAAAGGCACAGGGCACGGTTTGGTGTTGATTAAGACAGATGTTAAGAGGCCAACTCTTACGAATGCGCACATGAATACGTGAGCCCAGGTCACACGCAGCGGACATGGAGCTTTCTAATCTGCTGATGCTCCACGTCTGCCTCTGCCCTGGCCAAGGACACGGAATCCGATTTGATCCTGTCCGTGAGGACACAGACTCTGAGACAGATGGTGTGAAGTCAGAGAGAGTTCGGGATCTCAGCAGCGGTGGTTTTCACGCTTGGTACTATTTCCATCCGAGCGCTTCTGAGACTCTTATCTTACTTCCTCCGAGCACACAGTGCCCGAGATCTGAGGATTTTCTTCGGCTTTTCTCTGTTGTGACAGTGTTCTTTTCCTGAGTTCAGCTGGCAATACTTCCTGGGGGAAAATGCTGTGTCTTATCTCTCTTTGTATTGCATTATTTGATGGGTGCACTGTAAATATCCTTTAAATAAATGCAGAAGCATAGATGCTTCTTTCAAAAAAAAAATTTTTTTTTCTGCGACAGGGTTTCTCTGTGTATCCCCGGCTGTCCTTGAACTCTCTCTGTAGACTAGACTGGCCCCAGACTCAGAGAGATCCGCCAAGCCTCTGCCCCCCAAGTTCTGTGTCTAAAGGTGTGAACCACCATACCTAGTTCTAGTGTTGGTCTTTCACAGCCCCTGTTTTAAACACCTAGAAACTAAACATTTTTTTTTGTATTACCTGGGAGAGAGGCTAGGGATGGAAAACTGACCGAGTAAAGTGGGATTTTCAAACGCAGGAAGAACCAGAGAAGATCAAAGGGGTCACCTCGAGCTGGCTCGGAGGGCGGAGGTCCAGGAGCCAGAGCCCCAGACTGTGGCCAGAGCAGCCCCATCCCTCTTCCCGAGATCTCCGCTAACACTGTGTGAAGACTTGAGAGTAACTGGGCAGTTTCCACCTCCCAGGTGTCCTGGGAGAGAGGAGGGAGGTGTGAGAGGGCCCCACACTCTGTGAGTAGAAAGGGGTAAATTTCTTTTTGGTGTCCTTTCTAGGTATTAGGTTTGAGTGGAGACATTTAGGAAAACTTCTGGTATGATAGCACATATGCACGTACTTTTTTTTTTTCTTCTGGAAAACTCTAGGAAGACATAGATTGATGTCTTCTCCATTTTAACTTGGAGGTTGAATACTTTTAATTACGTTTAGTTAGTCGTGTGTGTACACGCACATGCGTGTGTCATGGCGTGATAAACACGGAGTGGGAGGGACGATTTGCATTAGCTAGTTCTCTCCGACCATGTGAGTCCCAGGGATTGAACTCAGGTCTCCAGCTTTGATAGCCACGCCTCTTCCTGCTGGGTGGTCTTGTCTTGCCAGCCTTAGAGGACTGACGATTTTAAATGCAGTATTTTAAAACCCCGAGAGGAGAGAAATGCAAACTGAATATTAAAAATAGAACGGACAGGGGTGGGGATCTAGCTCAGAGTAGAAGGCCCGCATGCGGGAGGCGTGCACGAGGCCCAGCGTTCAATCCTCAGTACCAGATAGAAGGACGCAAACTAAAAATAGAGCAGGCATTGATAGGCAGTGAAAGCTGTTCAGCTCTCAAAGTCTTCACACAAAGTGGCTGTTCAGAAATACTTGGCATTCGCCGATGGCGCTAGCTCACGCCCAGGGCAGTGCTGGGATATTCCGCCTGTGTGCTTCCCGAAGCGTTTCCCTTACAGGAGAATCCCGTGACTCTAGCAGCCGACTTGGCACTTTCCTGTTGAAGTAGGTCTTTAATGTGCCCAGGGAATCCGATTCAAAATAAGCGCTGCATGGTCATCTATTAGGACTCAACGAGTAGCTATGTTTTTGTTTGCAAAAGAAACTGTCTGGAGCGGATTTCTTCCCAGAAAAGAAATACCCAGAATGGCGGCAGTAAACCGTGTGCGCTCTTTAGAGAGCCCTGTCTCCCGGACTTTGCCACCCGTGCAGATGAAGCAGCATCTTTAGCCGTTGTGGGTGGTGACACCGCCCGGCAGACGGTTACTTAGGGCTTGAAATCAGCGACAGAAACACACGGCATTATTTCCTTTTCTCTTTCCTTTGTAGCCCAGTCTGATCTGGAGCTCGGTCCGCCTGCCTTAGCCTCGTAAGTGCCCGGATTACAGGTAGAAACCGCTGCGCCTGGCTCAGAGGATTGTAACTGTGGTCAGTTCGCCCCACTCGGGTCTCACAATCTGTTTGTTTGTTTTTGTTTTCTGAGACAAGGTTTCTCTGTAGCTTTGGAGCCTGTCCTGGAACTAGCTCTGTAGACCAGGCTGGCCTCGAACTCACAGAACTCCGCCTGCCTCTGCCTCCCGAGTGCTGGGACGAAAGGCGTGCGCCACCACTGCCTGGCTGATCTCACAATTCTTACCTGAAAGGAAGTGCCGTGGCTTGGGTTCTTGACTTTATATTTAAATTAAATAAAGGCTAGCTGGGAGTGGTGCCGGTCAGTTTAATCCCAGGACTCAGGAGGTAGAGCTAGGTTGATCTCTGTGAGTTCGAGGCCAGTTTGGGGAATAGAGTTCCAGGGCTGCCAAGTCTACATCGTGAAAGTCCATTTCAAAAACAAAACACACACTCCCCCGAAACAACAACAAAAACAAGCAGAAGGTAAGAATTTAGGAGTAGACAAATGGGATTGAAACAATTTCACCAAAAATAATATCAATTTAGAATATTTTATATATATATATATATGATTTTTTTGGTTTAGTCAATCTACATTTAGTGTTCAGCTTTTTATTTATGCAACTTCCAATGGATGCAGTAATTGCAAATTTTTCCTTGATTTCTTTTCAAGTTAATTTTTCTTCAAAAAACGTAATTTGATTTCATGCGAACTCCCCATTCACAATTGAATATGTTTATTTTTTGTTTTCTTTCAGACTTTTTTTTTTTCATCTTAAAAAAACCCACCCCTTTGTCTCATCTGAAACTTCTGGAACCGATTTTCCATGGAACAATTGCCTACTTCCCCAAGTACTGACTAAGTCACAGCTATTCTTGTTTTTTTGTGTTGCCGTATTTGTTATTAAACGTCTTCTTGTTTTTTCAAGGCAGTTTCTCAGTGTAGCTCTGGCTGTCCTGAAACTCACTCTGTAGACCAGACTGGCCTCGAACTCACAGAGATCCGCCTGCCTCTGCCTCCCGAGTGCTGGGACAACCGCCTGGCTGTTATTAAACTTCTTCTATGCAGTTGAACTTACATCTGCTAGCTCTGTTCTGTCTTATTGGTCTTTGTTTATGTTTTTGGGATGGCTAATCTGTCTCCTTGGCTGGATCTGGAATCAATTAACAGGCAAGCTTCTGAAATTTTCGTGCTCGCTTCGACTGCAGGGGGCAGGCCCACCCTAAATGTGGGTGGCACTTCTGGTGGCACCCCTGATGGAAGGAAACGAAGACACCCAGCCTTTGCCCTTGGCTTGCCTGCATTCACGGGCTGCCAAGGTCATTTATGCTGGCGGCACCTGGCGGCTGCTGCTTTTGACTGACATTCAAACCCAACTCCTTCAGCCTCCCAAGATTGATGGAAGACAGTGGCTCTCCAGAATCTTCCAGGCCTTAGGGACAGCTAAGGCATTTGGTTGTGAAAGGAGCAGCCGCTGGGTCTCCAGCCTCAGCATGAAGGTAGCTATTGCTGTCCTACGTAGGCTGTGCTGTGTAAACCAACCTGGCAAACTCCTTTAATACACTCATCCTTTTGTTCTTCCTCCAGAGATTCTGACGAGTGGAGTTTTAATTGATATACAAGTTGGCTCACACGCTTTACGTTTTGAATTCTGTAGAACAAACCATCGCCAGTTCCCTAATCTTTTGGGTCCTGTGCTGTGTAGTTCAGACTGCGGGAAACTCACTACGTAGTTCAGGGTGGTTTTGAACTCAGCATGAAGCTGAGGATGACCTTACACCCGTGGTCCTCCCCTCGCCCAGTGCCAGGATTACAGGCTGTGCCACCACGCCTGGGGTCCATATGGTTGTCAGGTAATAAGGGAAACTGTAGCTTGGTGTTGCCATGAGGGAGGCGCATGCGCACCCAGTACCTTCTCTATGAGTTCCTTCGCTGCGTTGTTCGTCTCCGTCTCGGAAGGTAGAGGACATTCCTCTATCACGAGTCTTGCTTGCCTTTGTCCACCGGGGGCTGCTGGATGCTTGGGGCTGCAAGGAGAGCATGGCCATGGTCAGATGCGAACCACTCCTTTCCGCCTACGTGTGTGTGAAAACTATGAGTAACTCAGAAGTGAGGTCAAGGCTATGCATGTGTGATTTCAATACCAACGACTACCGCAGTCAAAATGCCACAGACACGCAGTGATTCCTGTTAACTTACATTTCCTTGGAGCACGAATCCTAATTGTTCTTAATAATAAAAATCCGGAGTCAGACATTAGGGGGTTAAAGCTGAGAGATCAGAGAAAAAGTGCAGCCACTAAAGACCTTTCACCTCTACCAAATCCTCAGGCCAACGAGTCGATCCTGTCCTCAGGCTGCTTCAGGCTGCACCCCAGACTGCAACTGTCTCCACCAAACCTCAGACTGCTTCTGAGCTCCTGTCTCCTCCTTCTTTATATTCCTCTCTCCACCCAGCCGTATCCCTTCCTCTCTCCACCTCCCTAGTGTTGGCATTAAAGGGTGGGACTCCCAAATCCTGGGATTAAAGGTGTGAGCCGCCACCACCTGGCCTCTAGTGATTTAGCTCTGCACTCTGATCTTCAGGCAAGCTTTATTGGCTAAAGCACAAGCAAAATATCACTGCACTTCCTTAATTTAAACTTTTAGCAATTTGAGTCCCAATTTAAAGTGAATGAAAGAGACTTTGTTATTGGACGGAACATAAGTTAAAAAAAAATCCTTTTTAGACGCAGATAAAAATGTCTGTTTCCCAGCCCCGTCTTTCCTTTACTGATCTCTAACATCTGCCAAGTTTTAGCACTTCTGAGCTTGTTTAACACCAAAAGCGGGAAAGGTAGTTGGCTATCCACAGTTGATGGAGTTTGTCATCAGGACCAAAGCCTTACTTCTGTGTAAAAAGGTCACCTGGGCTTAGTAATGCTCAAGCTGAAAATACTTGTATTCTAGTAAAAACTGAAGTCCACACACACACACACACACACACACACACACACACGCACGCACACACACACACACACACGTAGTTATTGAATAGCAGTTACTGCCCCTTGAAAACAAGACAGAGCCAGGGGACATGGCTCAGTGGTACAGTACTTACTTGCCTAGAAGGCGCAAACCAAACCCTGATCCTTTGCAGACTTTCTCTTTTCTTTCTCAAGTAGGCCTCAAACTTGGTATGACGTAGAGAATGATCTTGACCTTTTGACTCTCCTGAATTCTGGGGTTACAGGTGTGTGGCTCTGTGTCTGGTTTATGCGGTACCAGATTGAGCACAGCATTTCCCACCTGCTAGGCAAGCGCTCTCCCAGCTGAGCTCCACTCTCAACCCACCCTCTGGAATTTTTTTACCCAACGTAATTTTTATTGATTCTTTGAGAATTTCCCATTGTGCACCCTGGTCCCACTCATTTCTCGGTCCCTCCATATCTGCTTTCCACCCTTGTAGCTTTCCCCACAAAAGAAAAGAAAAAGTAAAAATAACAACAACGAAACCCCACTTGGCTCCCCCATCTTTCTCACCCATCCATCGCCTTCCTGCTTATATTAGTGCTATTTGGGGCTGCGGTGTGTCATAGTCTGCTCTTTTGCCTAAACAGCTTCACTTACAAATGTTCATTGCGATGAGTTGTTGATCTGACTCAGGGCCTCTGGCTTCTGCTACCCCATCAATACCAGAAGAAGGCAGGGGATTTCTGTGAGTTCAAGGCCAGCCTGGTCTACAAAGAGAAACCCTCCCTGTCTCAAAAAATCCCCTGAAAACCAAAATCCAAAGAACCAAATGAAAAAATGACCTCCTCCAAAGATGAAAACAAACCCATCCCTCTGAATGGTCTCCGATGTGACTTTCTGGATCTTACTTTGCTTTCAGGCGAGACAGCACCACCCTGTACAGGTGACTTGCTGGGAGGTGTTTCCGATGCCCCATAGGTTGTATAACTGGGTGAATGGCCCCAACGACGTAGCCCTTCAGATAATAGTCTTCCACTTTGGCGACTATATCCAGAACCGAATTTATCTTGATGACTTCTGGGTTTGTTGAAGCTGAAAGACCAAAAAAACGAAGAGAAATTTTCCTATTGGTAACACTGTCGACTGGTATGGGAAAGGAAGAGGGGTACGCAGCTGGGGAAGGCGTCTTCAACGTTACAGAGATCTGAATTTCAATGGCTTTATTATCTGTAATATTTCTCACTTTATGGAGGACAGTTAACCAGAGAATTGTTAACCAGAGGCGGACTTGGCATCGATTAACTTGTGAATAAGAAAGCAATATGACATCAGTTCCAGGTCCGGGCTGGCCTGGCTTCATAATCATGTGACCTGTGGAGTGCAGGACAGAGCTGTACCAATGGTCTGAGCACAGGAAGAAGGTTAAGACGCAGATGAGGAAGAAGGGTCAGGGGAAGTCCCTGTCCTCCAACACTAACACTCCCATGATGGAACAATTTCACCATCAGTGAGCACGCGCGCCAGCTTCTTGAATGGAAACGAGGCACTCAACAGAAAGTTATGCGGGCCAGCATGAATCCATTTCCTTCCATTTGTATTCCCCTTTGGATTTAAGCTAATATCCTACGTCTATTATATTTTCTTCGTCGTTATGAATAGAAATGAAAATGGGGAGGACAGCCCTGAACTTTGAAGAAACATCTGGTCTCCATGTAAACATTCCAGTCCTGTCTGTGTGGCAAGCCTTTCGTCATTTGTTTGGCTTAAGTCTTTCTTAGCGTTTGGTCTACAAACCCCGCCTTTTTTTTTTTTTTTTGACAAAGCAGCCACGGGACAGACTCTTAAGGCTAAGGAAGAAAATCTAACGTAAGCTCATCTTTAGAGCTGTGCTAATTGGTACCTAATTTTAAAGAAAAAGTCCCTTAATGGGTTTCATGGCCTGGGGCAGGAAGTGGAGAGGTTAGCTCGATGTGCAGAAGCCCCCTTAGCCACGCATTCCTGCCTAGTTTGACGTGACAGCTTGGAGTTCTGAACCTGCCATTCTGTTTGACTACAGTAAGCCTTTCTCCCCTTCCCTGTCCCCACCCCCGAGTTAGTTCTTCCTCTACTGGCCGTTCTGCGCTGGGTTACAGTTACTTGTTTATATACCAGTCCTGGTTGTTCAACTGGGAACTCCTTCAGGGCAAGGATCCTAGCTCAGTCATGCCTTTCTGTACCTCACGTGTTCCTTCGGTCATTACGGTAAGCAGAATTACTGTTTGTTAAGAAAATAGGTAAAATTTAATTGTACGAAGATGGAAAGCCGATCCGAGCGAGGGGAAATAAAAAGTTCGGTCAGCAGAGAAAGGCAAGCGCAAACCCTGGCTTTCGTCATCTTGGCCATGAAAGCGAGGGTGATCAAGAACACTGTGAGGGGCTGGAGCGATGGCTCAGGGGTTAAGAACACTGGCTGCTCTTCCAGAGGACCCAGGTTCAAGTCCCAGCACCCACATGGTGGCTCACACCTGTCTGTAATTCCAGAGCAGAGGATCTGATACCCTCACACGGACACACAGGTAGGCAAAATACCAGTGCACGTAAAATAAAAGTAAATTATTATTGAAAAGTAAAAAAGAATGTTGTGAGAATCCAGAGCAGAAAGCCACGTTCTTGTCACAAAGCTTAGAGCACGAGAACCCACTGTGTTAATGATGTCACACAAGAGACGTCACGTGACATATGAAGTATTGAAAACAATGAAATGGAGCTACACCTGGCTTAACTGTATTCGTTTTGGAGTAAAAGGTTGTTGAGACATTTGGGGACAAGGTTTTTTTTTTTTTTTTTTTTTTTTAATCAAAATTGAAGAATCATTTATGGGCTGGAGAGACATCTCAGCAGTTAAGAGCATTGGTTGCTCTTCCAGGGGACCTGCGGTTGGTTCCCAGCACCTACATGGTACCTGACGCCCTCTTCTGGCCTCCTTGGGCACTGCACACACATGGTGCATAGGCACTCATGCCTGCAAAAACTCACACATAAAATAAAAACAAACGGTATTTAAAAAAGCATAATTTATGCCATGTTTGATGACATGTGACTGCAGCCCTGGCCCTGGAGAGGCTGAGTCAGGAGGATGGAGGGTTTGAAGCCAACCCAGTGACCCGCCTGGGAGGAGAAAAATCTCAATAGAGGAATTGCCTGTATCAGACTGGCCTGTGACGAAGTCTGGGGGCGTTTTCCTGTTTGCTACCCAGCCCACCGTGGGCAGCGCCATCCCTTGGTAGGTGGGTCTGTGCTGTGTAAGAGAGTTAGTAGAGACAGAGAGAGAGAGAGAGAGAGAGAGAGAGCCAGGCAGCCAGTGTCTTCCCACATGGTTGTCCCTGCCTTGAGCTCCTGATGTGACTGACCTCAATGATGGATCGTGACCAGCAGTGTAAGAAGAAGGAAACCCCTTTCTCTCCAAGTTGTTTGTCGTCATGGTGTTTGCTATAGCAAACATGACAAGCTAGGATGGAATTTGATAGAGAGGAACTGTGTGACTTTTATCCAAACGCCTTATTGAGCTAGCCTTGGTTTTCTGGCTGGCTTGGTAGTCACTACTAGGTGTGTATGTACATGCGTGTGTATATATGTGCATATGTGTGTATCTGCATGTGTGTATGCACATATATCTATTTGTGCATATGTGCATGTAGGTGTGTACATGCATATGTGTGCATATGTGCATATGTATGTATGTATGCATGCAAGTATGTATGTGTACATAAGTGCATATAGGTGTACACGTGCATATGTGTATATGCATGTATGCAAGTATGTATGTGCGCATGTGTATCTGTGTGTGTATGTGCATATATGTATTGTGCATATGTACATGCAGGTGTGTGCATGCAGGTGTGTACATGCATGCGTGTATCTGCGTGTGTGCATATATGTATGTGTGTATATGTGCATGTAGGTGTGTACATGCATATGTGTGTGTATATGTGTATATGTATGTATGCAAGTATGTATGTATGTGTGCACGTGTGTGTTGTAGACCAGGGTGTGTTCTTGTCGATCTCCGCCTCAAATTCAAACGTCTTGTGGAGATCCTCTTTTCATGCCCTCCCTCCATCTGAGTGGTTTTCAGCCGGGCTGAAGGCTGTGAGGAATTCAAAGCTCCCCCTGGAGGGCAGAACAGCACACCTGGAGGAAGGACTTTTCAACCACTCTCAATGGCTGGGTCATTATGTATCCATGACAGGCTCAGCCTCTGAGGCCCAGCCTTGGAGTTGACGTCCTTGCGCTGGGCAGTAATATCAGAGGCTCTGTCCCCGTTTAAACACAGAAAGTTAAGAGGGGAGGGGGTGTTTTCCTCGGTGGGTTGCGAAAACAGGCAGCGAGCAGCAGCTGTAAGCTCTCTCTCCGGCCTGAGCACCGCACACAGTCTCTGAGAGGAGGGACAAATGGTGTTATAGCCTTGGTGGACGTGGCTGGTAACTGTGAAATTAGTGCTACAGGATCTGGGAAAGCATCGCTGTGTCCTCCAGGGCGATTGTGAGGAGCCTGGGAGAGAGCAAGCTGTAAGGCTTTGAAATTTATGTAGATGCTAAATGAGTTTATATTACTACAACCAAGACTCGTTGAAGGCTGAAAAAAGTTATTTCTCCTCAAAGCTTCTAAACTAAAATATCCATCGATTCGTTTCATGTTCTTTCGCAAAACTGCGTCCATGACAAAACTCGAACCTTGTAATGCAAGTCAGAGGGCAGGGTGGCCCATGCTTATCATTCCTACCCTTGGGAGGCTGAAACAGGAGGATTACCACAAGTTCTAAAGCAGCCTGTGTTACATAGTGAGTTTCAGGCCAGGCTGGGCTATAGCTTGAGGCTTCAGAAAGCAAACAAACACATCAACCAATTAACCAATCAACCAACCGATCAATCAATCAACCAACCAACCAACCAACCAACCAACCAATCAACCAACCAACCAATCAACCAACCAATCACCCAATCAGTCAACCAACCAACCAACCAACCAACCAACAAACAAACATACTAACCAATCAACCAACCAATCAACCAATCAGCCAACCAACCAACCAACCAACCAACCAACCAACCAACCAACATACTAACCAATCAACCAACCAATCAACCAATCAGCCAACCAAACAACCAACCAATCAACCAACCAACCAACCAACCAACCAACCAACCAACTAACCAAAAAGCCCCAAACCCAAATAAGCATAAAGATACAAAAAGTCACATTCCATATAAAGCTGAGAACTTGTTAAATACTAAAAGTTCTGCTCTGACAACACAATTCTGTGAAGACGGCACAAACCACACATGTTAATTTCCACCAGCTCACCTCTGGAGATTGGTTTGTATTTATAAAACACATCTAAACTTCTTTCCTTAAGTAAAAACAATGTGAAAACCCAACAAGCAACTTCACCACCGTCTTACAGGTTGATGGTCCAGCATCCTGCATGTTCTCCCGGCGGCTGTAGAACAGAGTCAGAAGCAGCGACTTGTAGCCTGTGCCCAGTTCTGTACGAACAGATCACATCCGTTCTGAATCCCTACAAACCCTTCCAGGTGGATTGTTATTGTCTGATAAGAAGATTCATGGAGAGAGGTTAGGAAATTGATCCACATTGCTAGTCAATTCTGAGGCTGAGCTGAAACCCAGGCAGAAAGACATGGGAATTGGAACACTCAAGCAACCACGGGAAAGTTCTTCATTGATTTGAACCATGTTTGTTGAAGATTTGTGAATTCAGACATGAGGTCAGCCATACCAGGGGTTCTCAACCTTCCTAATGCTGTGACCCTTTAATACAGTTCCTCATGTTGTGGGGACCCCCCAACCATAAAAATATTTTTGTTGCTACTTCATAATTAATTTCGCTACTGTTATGAATCATAATGTAAATATCTGATATTCAACCCCTGTGAAATGGTCATCCGCCCCCAGATTGAGGACGCTGGTTTAGACTGTGATAGATTGTTAAGTGATTTAATGAATGGCAGTTAGGCTGATCTGATTTATTCTATAAGTGAGAGGTTTTAGGTAACTGAGAAATACAGGATGCTATGTAACATTGTCTCGGTACA